GGTGCTGTTTTGCCACTTTAACAAGGTCCTAGTTTCTTCTTGGTCCACTTTATTCCTCCCGAGGGACCCTTGGTCCTCTCATCTTTTTTGCTGCAAATTTATTGATTCAATGTGTAATAGTCAGGGGTAGGGCAGGCATGTGGGGGGGGGGGGGCTGGGGGCTTCAGCCCCCCCCCCCACGAAATTCTCATGGTGGTCCGTGAGAAGGCCTTAGTGCATTATTTAAACTGTTATGTTTATTCATATCATGAACTGATCACCATACTCAATATATCCCATATGCATGGGGGTATTGGGGTAATGATACAAAAGGTTTGCTAGGCTAGACCCTCTTTCACTCAGACTCAGCCCCCCCGAACCAAACTCACCCCCCCAAAAAATCAGCCCCCCCCCCCCCGAAAACGAAACCCTGGCTACGGGCCTGTGTAATAGTAATTTGTACGGTGCAGGGAAGGGACAGGAAGAGCAAAATTTTGTCCTTCCCAGAAGTCTAAGAGAAAAGCAAGCTGCTACAACCTCTCCTAGCTTGTTTATTCTTTCTCATAAATAAACTTTGTCATCTTGTTTGGTCACATGATTTTGATCTGAATGTTGGAAGATATGCGGGTACCCTGGGCAAGTCATACTGTATCAGTCTCAGAGAAAGCGATAGGCAACCCCCTATCTGAACAAATCTTGCCAAGGAAATCCTGTGCTAGGGATGTTTCAGGGCTGCCATAATTTGAAAACCATTTGAAGCCATACAGCAGCAGCAGCAGCAGCAGCAGCAGCAGCAGCAGCAGCAACAACAACAACAACAACAACAACAACAACAACAACGGTGAAAAATATCCTAGTTTGGGAACAGTTAAAGTTTTGCCAGTCATCTTGTTTCTAGCTTCCAGCCAACACTTTATAGATAACTTTGTTGTTAAAAGGAGGTGGGTTTAGAATCCCATTATGATTACTATTGCAAATTTGTGGTCTCTTAATTTCCCATCCTGATCAAATTGAATTTAGCAGAGAATTTGTACACACACATATGCATACAGACTGAATGGAAGGGGAAAGAAAAATGTAGGAGTTAGACTAACAAAATATACTTGTGAAACATTAAGAGAAACATAGATCCTGTAGTTGGGTGGGAACAACCAGTAATATTGAGTGTATTTTTATTTCACAATTCCCAATCAAAATAACATATTTTTCTTCCAACAGATCCTGAATCGCAGAGAAAGAGAACAGTGCAGAATGTCCTTGACCTTCGGCAGAACCTGGAAGAGACGATGTCTAGCTTGCGGGGCTCCCAAGTAACTCACAGGTGAGTTTACCCTTATTCATCACCACAGAAGCTGATCTAACACATGGGGGTTTGAAAACATCATGCTGATTGCACCAGAAAGACCTGCACATTCCATGCTGAGCAGTTTATTTATTTATTTATAGAATTTCTACCCCGCCCTTCTCATTAGGGGCTCAGGACGGCTAACATAGGCAACCACTCTGTGCCACAATCTCAATAGACAATATAAAACCATGAATATATAAACTTTAAAAATAATAACATTGGTCAAATAATCACATCACATAGCCATTTCCAATTACATCACATAGCAATTTCCAAATTATAACAGTCGTATAGTCCAGTTTGAAGACCCTTGTGCTGCTGTGCTCACTCACCGAAGGCCTGGTTCCAAAACCACGATTTTAGCTTTTTTTAGTTTCTGCCTCCTCCCCACCACTCGGGTCTGAATACTGCCAAATGTAGTCTATTCCTCTGTGAGACAGGTCTTCTTTTTATGTTTAGGCTCCATCTCCTTCCTTGCTATTTAATATTTATGTCCATTGGTTTGTGCTCTATGACCTCATCACATGTGAAAAAATAAGCATCTTATAATTCTTCTGCCCCAGTTCATTCATGGAGTCTCATGCTGCCCATCAGGTGATGTAAGCTGAATTCTGGCAGGGCTCTGTGAGTGAACTGGGGGGGAGGGGAGGCAGAGTTGTAGGACACTGCACCACCAACATAGTAACCTCCCTGAGTTCCATTAGGAACATAGGAGCTACTGCAGGATCAAACCACATGGCAGTGCTTCCCCACATAAGGTGGGGGAGTGTCAGCTGCTAGCTGGGGTGTTGGGATTGTCCTACTGCCACCCTGATTCACTACAGAGGCTGACAAATCACAATCCTGGATCTTATCCATGTGATGAGGTCCAAAGTCTCTGGAGTAGCTGAAAACAAGCTTGGGAGGTCTGACAAATCAAAATAGAGTGAGACTATTCTATCCATTGGTGTGGACACTATTCTTTTGTTGATGCTGCTTAGATCTGTGTTGGCCTTTTTTGACTTGTGCATCACATTGCTGACTTATAAACTAAAACCCATAGGTCCTTTCCACACAAACACATGCTTACTACTTTCTATTACAGTGGTTCTCAGTCTGTGGGCCCCCAGATGTTTTGGCCTTCAACTCCCAGAAATTCCAACAGCTGGTAAACTGGGATTTTTGGGAGTCGTAGGCCAAAACACCTGGGGACCCACAGGTTGAGAACCACTGTTCTATTATAAAAGTCACTAAAGCATAATGGTTTGAGCATTAGACTAGGACTCTGGAGACTAGGATTTAAGTCTCTGCTTGACCATGGTGAATCCCACATATTTCTTGATTAAAATTCTGTACTTAGTTTTCTGAATTGCCGTTTTACCTTGTAACTGTAACAGAATTCAACTATAACACTACCTGCACAATATTCATTGGTAAATATTTTGAAAGAATATCTAAAACAGAGCAGCGAGAATAAACCAACATTTCCTTTTTAGAAAATAATAATAATGATATCAAAGGTAATGATACTTCTGAAACATAATAACATGTAAAATTAGTTGCCATTCCTAAAACTTTTTTTTTAAAAAAAACCCAAACAAAACCCTCTTTGGGTTTTTTTTAAAAAAACTATTTTTGTTTTTTAAGTAATGAAACAAGTAACGTTTTGTAATGAACAATTAGTAACATTAATGGTTTATTTAAAAAGTAACAGTTAATGAGCAATACTAATTAGAAGTAACAATTTTATATACTAAGCAAGCCCTGCCCTTCCTCACAACAATAGACAGAAAAGCTGACACTGCTCACTTATAACAAGCACAAGGTACTTTAAATAGGTTGGCTGATCTTTCTCTCTTACTTTGACTATCCTCATAATATGACTATACAACAGTTAGGATGTATCCTAACTGTGGTAGCCAAGACATGCTTTCCTAAGAAGCATACATCATATGTCATATTGAACGGAACTGGGAAAAAGGTTATGCTTCTGATGAAATAGCACAGTGGTTTCTTTGCATAAGCCCAGTGCTAGCTGCCCTAACCTTAGCTAAATAATTCTCCTTGCTGGATCATCTCTTCAGCAGGGAGAAACATTGTTCATTATACTTTATCCACTTATTATCACTTTGAATAAAAACAAAGTTGAATGTCATCAGGTTAAAAGTTTAACCCGGTGTTTGACTTCTGATTTATGTAAATTCCGCAGTTCTGTTGCTTCACCCTTTTCTTTCTTCTATCAGGATTTGCTAAATCTCAGATATGACTGTCATTTGCAACAACCAACACTTGAGGGAACTCTTAGTAAAATGAGTCCATATACATTGTCCATATACAGAATGATATTTCCCTTACATTTTATTTCTGTCTTTTCAGCACTTGCTCAAGGCATGGTCCAGACTATAAAGTGTTAGATGGTCCTTTTTAAAGTAAAACTTTCATATACCAGTTTCCACTGCACTGTTCTCCTGTTTGTTCATGTGGAATTGCTGTAATTCCTTTAATCAGTTGATGTATTGATTTTTTTGAATTGCTTTTTAAAAAGAAATCCTGGGCATCCTGAGAGAATGATTAACATGATTAATATGATGTAATGGACATATAATTCAGAATACCTAGAGTGGAATCTGGAAGGCAGGAATTCTGAGGGTTTATCTAGAGGGAAAACTGGATTTGATTTGAGACTTCCTCACATAAAATCTTGTGTTTTATGTGATAGATGACCTTTGCATTTCAAAGAATTCTTTCAAATGTGTTGTAGGTTTTTTCAGGCTATATGGCCATGTTCTAGAGGCATTCTAGGACCTGCGTACCTGCGTGACCGCATTTCTGTGTACGAACCCACACGATCTCTTCGATCATCTGGAGAGGCCCTGCTCACGCTCCCGCCTGCATCGCAAGCGCGACTGGTGGGGACGAGAGAGAGGGTCTTCTCTGTGGTGGCCCCTCGACCCTGGAACTCACTTCCCAAGGACATCAGGCATGCCCCATCTCTGGCAGTCTTTAGGAGGAGCTTGAAAACTTAGTTATTCCAGTGTGCCTTCCCAGAATAATGGACCCTTAGCACTATGTCCTCTAAAGCACCTTATACTGATTTAGGATTGTTTTTATGTTCCCACCAACACTCCACCTCCCTATCTTGTTCATACCCAGCATTATTTTAAATTTTAATTACATTCGGCCCAGCCATAGATTTTAAATGTGTGTTGTGCTATTGTCAATGTTTATGCTATTTGTGTTTGATATTTATTTTAATTGCTTTGTATTGTTGTTGTTATTGCTTGTATTGATGTATTGTGGGCTCAGCCTTATGTAAGCCGCACCGAGTCCCTTGGGGAGATGGTAGCGGGGTATAAATAAAGTATTATTATTATTATTATTTGGTTTATCATGTGGTCTATGGCAAGCCAGGCATGTAGCCGGGGGGGGGGGGGGCTTGGGGGGCTTCAGCCCCCCCCCCCCGAAATTCTCATGGTGGTTCGCAAAAAGGCCTTACTGGTGCATTATTTAAACTGTTATGTTTATTCATATCATGATCTGATAACCATACTCAATATATCCCATATGCATGAGGGTATTGGGGTAATGATACAAAAGGTTTGCTAGGCTAGACCCTCTTTCACTCAGACTCAGCCCCCCCGAAACTCAGCCCCCACCCCCCCCTGAAAAAAATTCAGCCCCCCCCCCCCCGAAACGAAATCCTGGCTACGGGCCTGTGGCAAGCATCCTCAGAGGTAGTGAAGTCCTCTGAGAATGCCTCTAGAACATGGCCATATAGCCCAAAAAAACCTACAACAACCCAGTGATTCCTGCCATGAAAGCCTTCGACAATTCTTTCAAATGCCTGGTAGCATTAACTAGGTTATTTAAAGAGATAGCACCTCATAATTAATTGTTTTAAAATAGTCCCAAAGGTGCTCCTAAATTCCTCTCTGCCTTAGTAGTAAGGTTAGGTTTTTTTTGCTCTTTTTGTGATGTTTGCTGTGAGGTGAGTAATTTATACCGAGAGAGATGCATTACTTTATTTCACAATGGTCCCTGTTCCTTTAAGGGAAAGAGCAGCACATTGTAGAAATCAAAGCCTTAGTTTTGACCCTCGCCTTCATTCTTCAGACCAGGGCATTGGCAGCAACCTCTCTGTAATAGAAGGTTCCCCATGGCTTTCTACTGACCAAATGAGCTAATGGAAAGACAGCCGCTTTTTGGACCTCCACTTAGCAAACTACGTTATGGTCTCTCCCTCTCTCTCCCTCTCTCTCTCATTGTAATTGAGTTGTTGAAGAGTGGATGGGGAGGATTGGACTGGCAAGGTGAGCTCATTCCCCAACCTCACGGAATTTGCTTGAGGGAATGAGTACATGGAATTTGTGATCGGACCGTCAGTCGCTTCCTTCCAGGGAAGGAGAGGAATAGGCTCACTCTTTGTTTACCTCTGCTTAGTTCTGGCTCTTGCTGAGATTTTAAACCACATCGTGAGTTTGTCCTGGGAAGCTAATGAGGAGATGGGACAGGGTCTTTTAGAATCATAGGAACACAGATAGGGATGACAAGTTTCCTCGCATCAGACTTCTGTTTCTGACAGTAATAAGTTCAGAGCATTTCCCACAGTCACCTCTTGCCTCCTCTTACCACCAGCTTGGGCTGGAGATAATTGAGTGAGAACTGCTTGGAAAAAGCATCACTCTACTATTCATAAACCTAAAGATTAATGCTGAGTATGGACAATTTATAAATACTAAGCCAGCTGCATATAATGATAGGCTGCTTGTCTAAATGTGGCATCCCCCTCCTCCGTTCCACTGATTTCTCTTCTTCTCTCCCCACTCTTATATGTTTTCTTTGTCCCCACCCCCAAATCATTCTGGTTGATGCTACATGATGTAGCAGAATGGGAGACCATTGCTGCTTTTCTGAGTCCATGAAAGCTGGGAGCTGCCAGATGAACCCCACCCAGATGAGTCATTGTAACACTATATCCAGCAAGGGAGGAGGGT